ATATAAATAATTGAGAAACATTCCCAATGCTCTCTAACAAAATGTGTGTTTATTCTTTTAGGCTGTAGAAAATCTCTGTTCTTACAAGATTTCTGCAAACTTGTACAAACAGCTGAGACAGATTTGTGAAGATCATATCAAAGCACAGATTCATCAGTTCAGAGAATATCCTTTTAAAAACAAAAAATCCTAAAATTTTTTCTTCTTCCTTCCTGTCCCTTACTGTTTAACCCAGCTTAAAGTGGAATGCCTATGACTTCTAGATTCATTATTTTTGTCCTCCTGTGTTTCTAGAGAAGAAACAAAATTTTAACTATTCAGCTTTAATTAGATCCAAATCTACATATGGTATTCATGTAAATAAAATTTCTTTGTCTTTACCATTTTTGTCCTAACGAATTTCCATTAGAGGAAAGATGATTTAAGGGAAATCATAGACTAAAAACGTGATGCTCATTTATGTTTGATTTGTTTTTAAAGGTGTATTTTAGTGGGATTAAGATTTTTTCTGTGGCTTAAGAAATAGCATTTTGTTCTATAATTAAGTACTCTTTGATTTCATTTACTATATATTAAGTACTGTTTGGTTTCATTTGCACTTCATATTTAAAACAAATGCACATTCACACTTGTGTTAAACCCTTAACATATATCTCATGGATTCATTGGATAGTGTTCTTTTTCTAAAGAAGATTGACAGATGCTGGCAGAATCATTGTAGGCAAATGGTGAGTTGAGAAAAGTATTACATTTCAGCTAAACATTGTAGTTTACACATTTCTTTACATATAGGATGTTAGTTTTAAAAATTTTGTAATAGGGAGACAATCTCAGTTGCTCTTTTTCTGAGTTAGAAACAAATTTTTTAAATTTTAAAACTCTGAATTACAGGTAAATCAGCATTTTTTTGAGATGTTGATGAACCTTTATTTTATTCATTTATTTATATGTGATGCTGAGAATCGAACCCAGGACCTCACATATGCTAGGCAAATACTCTACCACTGAGCCACAACTCCAGCCCATAAACCAGCATTTTTAGAGTCCTTTTTATTTTTTGTCACACTGAAGGGTATTATTTTCCCTTCTCCCTAGTCTGGCATTAGTTTTTTTTTTTTTTAATGCATATATTTTTTAGTTATAGATGGACATAGTACCTTTTTTATTATTTTTATGTGGTGCTGAGGATCAAACCCAGTGCCTTACACATGCTAGGCAATTGCTCTACAACTAAGCTATAACCCCAGCCCCTAGTATTACTTTTATTCCTTACGTTCTGTAAATTAAAATCTTAAAAGTCCATCAACCCACCACACCTAGACTGATACAGGTAGAATTTAAGTTAGCTTCACCCCCACCATTGTTACTAAGGAAGACTTGAGTGCTTGATTCCATTTCTATTTTCAATTACTTCTCATGTAGCAAAGAAGTCAAAGGACCATTGTAAGTGTCTCTTTTTTAGCAACCACAACAAGGATTAAGAAAATAGAATGGTTTGATGAAAATGGTATGGACATAATCTCAGGTAGATATGTTCAATCCTAATAGTCTATAGTCTAGTGTAAAAACCTTCAGTTTTCTTATTTTATTGAGCAAATATTTCAATTTTACTAAATATAAAAGTTGTTTGATTTATCTTTTTCATTGACAGATCATGATCAGGAGCATTTTTTTGTTTCTGGATAGAACTTATGTTCTTCAGAATTCAATGCTACCCTCTATTTGGTAAGGATACCAGAAAAATGTAATGAAGATTTGTTACAAATCATGGTATAAATCTTAAGTATACTACTGAAAGATAGCGAGTAGTGCTGTGACTGTTCTCTTAAAAATGCCCATTTGGCTTCTAGCCTTTTATTTATAGGAAGTTAAATTATATTTTGCCTGTCACTAATGTTGAAGATAGTATATGAAGATGACTTTTATTAAGTAAGAAGATTAAAGTTTGCTCTGGAATATTAATTAGTGAATCATGTTTGCTACTTATCATCAAGTGTTTACTCATTTTTAAACAATATTTTGGAAAAGTCCATGAATACATAAAAATAGAAGAGTATAATGAACTCTTTCCCCTACCATGTGCCTAGCATATAAACATAGCAATATCAGAGTACACTGAGTTTGGAGTACTGAAGCCAGTTAATAAGTGAGTAAATAAGCTTTCAGTACCAGTCAGTGAAAATTATTTTGTCTTTGAGCTAATTTTATCTCTTGCTTTGACCAAGGAAGTAATCCACTAGAGGAAGTAGTACAACAAAACTTAGTTATGGGGAAAGACAAGCATTGAGCTTTAGTTCTCATTAAAGAGAAAATGAATATCCTTGTATGCTTTAATCTAATAATGTTGTTCAGAAAACCTGTGTGGATGTTATCCTTTTACAATTGCTACTTCAAATCCTAGAACCATAATTAACATGGGTAACATGTTAAGCAAGTGTCTTCAGAAGTGGTCTTGTCATTTAACCCAGATTATGTGTTTTTTTATTTTAGGGACATGGGACTGGAGTTATTTAGGGCTCATATTATAAGTGATCAGAAAGTCCAAAATAAGACAATTGATGGCATTCTTCTCTTGATCGAGAGAGAAAGAAATGGTGAAGCAATTGATAGAAGTTTACTCCGAAGTCTTTTAAGTATGCTCTCTGATTTGCAAGTAAGTTACTTTACTACCTACAGAGCTGATTGCTATCCCTAGTTTGGTGTTTTGTTTTGTTTTGTTTTAAAAAAAACATTCATAGTACTGTTCAAATTGAGGATATTTGGTAAATATTTATTGAATAAACAAACTGATTTATTTTATTACCCGCTCCCAGATTTATCAAGATTCTTTTGAACAACGATTTTTGGAAGAAACTAATCGGCTCTATGCAGCTGAAGGCCAAAAGTTGATGCAAGAAAGAGAGGTATTTTAAAATCATGATTAATAAAACTACTGCCTCTTACAATATGCCTTACTTTGTAGAACATAAACTTCCCTTTGCATTTATCTTCCCAACATTATAATGCTCTTCTCTCACTTAGGTGCTCCTTTCTTTTCTTTCTTCTTAAAGGCCAGAATTCGGGATCATAAACTCTACCTATAATTTTACATATGATTCAACCCTGTCACATTTGACAGGGCTGCTCCCAGGATCTTTTGGACTTGACATTTTCTGAATGATTTATGGGGAGGAAAGCAATAATATAAAAAACTATCTTTGTAGGTTCCTGAATATCTTCATCATGTTAACAAACGTCTAGAAGAAGAAGCAGACAGACTTATTACTTACTTAGATCAGACTACCCAGTAAGTATTACATGCCTAATAGTCTTAAACTGTTGTTAAATCACTTAAGGCACTTTAGGCATGTTAGTAACTATTTTCAGATATGATTTAGACTTTTAACAATTGATTTCATAATGCAGAACTCAAGTTATTATTTTCCCTACCTAATTAGATTTAGTCAAGAATTTGGTTATTGGTTTGGTGTGTGAATTAGGATGTAATTTTAAAATAGTATTAGAGGCTGATGTGATCTTTAGGCTGATTAAAAGTCACTGGGTGTTGATAGAAGAAACTGTTTTTGTACTTTCCTAAATATTACCAACCAAGTGGTTCCTATAAGTAGCTTAGATGACTTCTCTACCTTCCTAATAAAAGCAGAGAAACTTTGGAAAAGGCTAGCCACAGCAAGAGCATTGGAGACATTTCACTTCATTATATAACTCAAATTCTGAAACAGTTTTTCCTTTTTTAGGCATAGAGTAACTCTACGTGCTCTTAAATTTATACATGGAATCAAAGTATGGAAATTAACATAAAATGAGACTATTTGATTTTTTTCCCCCAGAAGACTGTTTACATTTTTAGAACCGTCAACTGTCAATAATTCTAACTCTTTTTTCCTTGTAGGAAGTCATTAATTGCTACTGTAGAAAAACAACTTCTAGGTGAACACTTAACAGCTATTCTTCAAAAAGGTAATTGACAGGGGTTGGGGATGTGGCTCAAGCGGTAGCACGCTCGTCTGGCATGCGTGCCGCCTGGGTTCGATCCTCAGCACCACATACAAACAAAGATGTTGTGTCCGCCGAAAAACTAAAAAATAAATATTAAAAAATTAAAAAAAATATATATCTTTAAAAAAAAGTAATTGACAATTTATAAATAAGATAACTTTAAAATTGGTAATGGAAAACTAATAGGGATTTTTTAAAAATTCCATTTTTAAAGCTTGATAGCATGTCCCTGTATTTCTAAGGATAAAAACAATCCTTTCTGGGCTGGGGATGTGGCTCAAGCGGTAGCATGCTCGCCTGGCATGCGTGCGGCCCGGGTTCGATCCTCAGCACCACATACCAACAAAGATGTT